ACCCTTCATTTCCTGTTAAACACCACTCATGGTATTGTTTACACTAAGGACACTGATCACTATTTTTAGTGGAATTATAAATTGGTACCAACTTATGGAACTCAATTTGGTAATAATTTTAGGTGTATTTTCATACTCTATGCACCAGATTTTTGTGATTTTTACCTTGTGTTCACACCAAATATTCAAATAAGTTACAACTCTGTACTCAAGGATCTAACATTTGTACTATCATATACAATAGTATGTATAAGAGAAAAAGTCAAAAGAAAGTCACATGTTCAACACAAATGACTAAATGCATAAATCATTTTTGTACTTAGTTATGTATAGAATAATAGGCAACTTTTAAAATCATTTATATGTGAAACAATGATATTGGGAAAAGTTCATGATGCTGTAGTGTTAAGCGGAAAATATGCATGGGTATAAAATCTTTTAAAATAGAGGACTGCTAAGAAAAATCAAATTTATGAGACTAAGAACAGCAGTTGTTTCTGTTTTCCTCTTAATATTGTGATATGTATTTAATATTTACAAAAGGAAATGTATTTTTTCTTGAATAAAGACTTTTAAAATAAAATGAACAATATTAATCATGTCACATCTTTATCACTCTTAGATTGTCATACCTTTTAAGTTTAAGCATGCAATTATGCCACTACCTCTAAGGAACAAAATGAAACCAAAACCAAGTATAATGTGTAAAATCTTTTTCTTATGCTGGTTAACTATTGGTATACTTTGCTCGTGGAAACTAGATATTTCTACTGCTACATTACTTTTATAAATATTTCTAAGAACCATCTAAAAAAAGTGTTGACATAATAACTCTAAATGCCTAAGGTGACTTCCATTTTTAAAAACAGAGCAATATTAATTCACTTTGTTGAACTTCAGTATACTTCGATAAATTCACCTTTGTGGCTTTGAGCACATATGCAAGCAGACTTAAAACATACAATGTTTGGGCCTCCCTGGTGGCATAGCGGCTGAGCGCTGGGTTGCAAAGCTGCCCGCAGCCTCTGCAGCACTGGTTAGATCCCCAGCTGTTCCCTGGCCACCGGAGGAGGGTCCCACACGGCGCACAGACCTCTCCTGCCACCTACTGCTCCCCTCAGCAGTGTGCTTTGGTCCTTCTGCCTGCTCTGCTCCCTGCTCTGGCTCTGGTGAATTCTCTCACCCTCCCGCGCTTCTGACTGTACCCAGTGCTTGTATAAATAAATAAATAAATCTTTAAAAAAAAGATATTTAAAAAAAACATATAATGCTTTGATCTTGCACTGTTGTGTCAAAGGTGTGGAACATTTCAGTTTCAAAGATACTGCCAGGATATCCAAAGATAATGCAATTTATACATACTCTCATGGGTAAAATATGAGAGTGTTTCCCACATCCTGTTAGCATCTGATATCAACCTTCTAAATGTTTGAAATGAAACTTGTATTTATATTTTAATTGAAATTGTATTTATAATTTGTATTTATTATTGTATTTATAATTTAATTGAAATGAAACTTGTGTTTATATTTATATAAATAAACTTGTATTTATATTTATATTTATATTTTAATTGTACCCAATAGTGAAATTTAATAGTGGAAATGGTTTATCATAGTTTTACCAGTCTAAAAATACATGTGTAATTTTTATGTGACTACCCCCTTTCTCGTTTTGTTTGTCATTTTTGATTGTTTTGATTATTGGTCAAAATAAAAGGAGGTGGGGTGTAAACTCCTCAGATCCTCTCCCCAGTAATAAGAAGTAGCTTCCTAACTATGACATTTCTTTGCAAAGAAGGCCACATCCTCAGCATCTTTTAACCTCAGAGACTGCGGTGACCAGACCGTGAAGTAACGATAAGAATCTGTGCCCTGTGGTCCTGCCTGCAAGGGAACTTGGCTGTGAATAGAGGCCAATGAGAAGAGGCCTGGGACAGAGGAAAGGGAGGTCACCCAGGAGTCAAAGGGAGGGTTGGAGCAACCATCTGAAAGTTAATCCATCCTGAATCTAAGCAGAATCTAAGCAACAAAACTATTCAGGGTTTTCAAAGTACTTAAAGGGCCAAGCTCACTACAGAAAGGACAGACTTGATTTAAAGGAACAGAGTGATTTTAAAGGACAGTCGAATCTAAACTTACAGCTTTGGCCGGAAGAACAAGAGAAAAAGGAAGCAGACACCCTTAACAACTGGGTTGTAAAAGAGAAGAGAAGAAAAAGGGATAAGTTTTTAAGGTCTCAGCATGCCAAAGAGAACCCCCAAATTGGAAATATCCCCAACCCCTACAAAATCAAGTAGATAAATATGGAAAAATATGAAACTGCTAAAGTTACTGGATTTTATTCAACTGATATAAAAAGTAGCATTAAGTTTGAAAGATTATAAAACTGTCCAAAAATCACAAAAACAAGCAAGAGGAAAATAATATCTATAAAGAACTGTGGCAGAAAATTATTAATTTTTACACAAATCAAGTAAGCCTCTCCCTTCTTCCCCCCATCCAAAATCAATGACTGTGAAGCCGAAGAAATGCTCAGTCTATATTCCATACAAAATTACATGTGCCTAAACATTTGAGAATATAACAAAACACTTTAAATCAGAAACTCAAAAACTAAGCACGGAAATGGGCAAAAAAAAAAAAAAAGGATATGAAATCAGGAAATCTTAAGAAAAAGAGACAAAAAAATCTCAGAAATAAAGGGTAAATTGCAAGTTGTTTAAGGGAGAGTAGACTCAAATGAAAATGAAATAAACCCAAAGGCAGAAAAGCAACTAAGGGAATAACACTGGTGTAAAGAAGTAAAACGAGATACAAAGAAAGTCATAGAGATCGCAGAGAGGCAGCAATCTGGTTAGCTAAGTGGTACTCATGAGAGAATGTCCGAGCAATTCTGGAACCACTTTGTGTGTCTTCTTGATTTGAACAAATTAGCAAAGCAATTGTATACAATTAGAGCCAATTGGAGAAAGAAGTTACAAATCAAAGGAACGGAGAGGCTAAAATAAATCCTGGGCTATTAGTTTGGAATCAGAAATATCAATGTAGAACTCATAGTTTTATGTGTGTGTATCCAGGTAGATAGTAAGTTAGGACTTTAGAGTCTCATATGACTTCTGTTTCTGTGTACATATGTATATATGTATATATATATGTACATATGTATATATGTATATATTTGTATATCTATATGTGTGGGCTTGTGTGTGTGTGTTTGTATATATACAATCCTTCTTTTCAACCCTTTACAAATGTTTAAAAAAATATTCTCAGCTCACTAGACACATGATTACATCTCTGGCAAATCCCGGCTTTAGGCCCAGAAGAGCCATCTGCTCTTGATCCATTAGTGAAAACCAATCACATCACCAAGAGGCAGGACAGCTAGGAAGTATGGTTGGCTGTCGTGCTCATTGAGAAAATGGGTTGGTCCACTTTTATGGGTCCTGCCATCAATGCCATTTTACTTCTCTGGAGCTTTCCTTCACCTTTATTTATCACTCGTTTTGGTCTTGATTTAGGTTAGGCTCCCTGGTTAAACATAGTACCTGAGGGTCCTAACATCCACGATACATTTTTTTACTACTAATTAGTGAAAGAGGAAATGATTTACTGGAATGTGGAGGGAATTACTATAATCCAAAAGGTTAGCCATGTTTCATGTTCTTTTTTCTTACTTATTTCAGTTATTGAAAGAGGACAATGAGCAGATCAATAGTTGAAAGAATGTACAAATCTTATGTCCAAAAGGGCACCAGCAGTGTTTTCTCCCAGGTGCGAGGAATGGACTCTAGTCAAGAGTGTCAATGAATTGGCTGATTTATCAGCTATGAACTTCTATTTTTGAATCTAAGAACCTGAGGGAAATGAACAGATTTTCTATAATTGTAACAAATAAATTTTCAGATACTTCTGAATTTAGCAATTGCAAAGGTTATATAAAAAATAGACTAATTTTAGATAATCATTTCAGTATATATAGGGATAGATTTCTATAACAAGAATCAGTTGGATTTTTATAAGTAAATATATATTTTAAAGGAATCGGTAAAGTATTAAATGCCTATTTCTGTTTGCTCACATCTTAGTCATTTCAAAGATGAAAGTAATTTTAAAGAATAGTAGTGGGACAATTACCAGAGGGGAAAATATTTGGAAAAAGTGACTATATGTTTGTTCTTTCAAAAAAATATATTTTTTTCTCCCATGGGAACAAATTTTTGCTGTATTTTGCTATGCTGTCACAAGGTACTTTGTATTTACCCTGCAATACACAATAAATGCCAACAGTATAATCTCCAAGGGAGATGGCTTTAATTCTGCCTCTGTTTCTAATTTTTTTCCCAGTCAGTTCTTGGTATATAGAAAGCCTGAGCTTTAATAATACAGGGCTGTAGAGGTATGAACATTTTACAGCTTTCTATTGTGAAACTGCAGAAAAAGCTTTAAGAAAAACATAGTTCAGTTTCTTCAGGCTGATTCTTTGCTATTCTCTGCTTTGAGAGTGTGAGCATTACTCAACTTTCCTTTCTAGGAAGGTCTTTGATGACTGAACTCATATTATCCTATACTGCTTGCCATCTATCCTTATGTAATCCTTTTTGGTATTAATTTGGTTACATCCTTAGTGAATCCTAAGATTTTCCTATCAGAGGTGCACAAGGACTGAGTCATAAAGATATTTATAATACTAGCATTTTCCACTGTGAAGATATAAGAATGAGATAGAAGATGAGGATTTCTTTTTCTTGTACAAGAAGCTTAAATTGAATCAATTGACATAGTTATCGTGCAGCAATAAATTTTCTTCCCATTCTGAAATTCTTATCAGTCACCACTCATCTCACTGGAAATACAACACATGCTTATCTACTGATCTAGTAGAATGAATGCCATGATTCTTTATTTGAGTGAAGTATTTGATGTTGTAAAATTTAAATTTCCAAAAATTCCTCTTTTTCTGAAATTGTCCTTAATTTTGTGTGCTTTTATGAACAGGTATACTCTTCATTGAATTTTTATGACCCTCTCTTCTTCCAGGAGATCACAAATTCCTCAAGAAAACACACATTTAACAATATGTCTTCCCAGAATATCTGGCAGCAATCCTTGCACATAATAAATATCCAGTAAGTATTTACTGAGTACATTCATTCTGAAAAAAGTAGATGGTATTTTCCTTAATTTATTACTTAAACTAAAGGTTTAGATATTTGAGATCATTTGAAGAATGTACAAATATATCATAAAAAGTAAATAAATAGACTTCCTTTTTGTGTTAGGTATGACCATCATGAACAAAAATTAAAATACTATTCTTAAGATTGGATAATATATTAATGACTCTAGCACCAATATCTGAGGTCTTAATGAAGCCTTTTTTTATGAAAATGGTACAAGCTCTGTATTCAGTTGCTGGCCATATTTCCCCTCACATTTCTCACAAATATTTACAGAATTTTTAAATGAATGAATAAATGTCATATTTAAAAATAAATCCATTTGGTCATTTTCTACCTAGTGGAGCTGGATTGCAAGCTCTGAAACCACCAGGTGCACCACTCCTGACTGGTGAGGTGACTGGCAAAATATGTTGTACCTTCTTCCTCAGAAGTGATTTGCTCAAAACCTCATGTAAGTGAAATAAACCAGACAGAAAAGACTGCACACCTGTGCTTATATGTGGAACCTTCAGAAAAAAGTCAAACTCATAGAGGCAGAGCAGATAAGTGGTTATCAAAGGCTGAAGACTGAGGGACATAGGATAGGATAGTAAAAGGTTTTTTCGAATCTCAAGCATGATGACTATAGTTATAACACTGTATTATATAACTGAAATTTTCTGAGACAGTAGAATTTAAATGTTCTCAGCCCCATATATGAATGTGTTAACCATGTGGATGGGAGAAAATTCATAATACATACATATATAAAATCATCACAATGTACATCTTAAATACATTTTAATTTTATTTGTCAATTATACCTCAATAAAGCGGGAAAAAATAAACCTATGAAGATGGATCTCAAAAGTCATTGAAATAAGATCTCATCATGGAATAAAACTGTAAAACTTGTCTCTTCAGTTCAATGGTCCAAGTTCAAATATTATTCTCACAGTGTTTCCCATCTCACTGCCTGGGAGATATTGGCAGCTCAAAGATACCAAAAATATTATCAAACCAAAAAGAAAAATCCCTCTAAAATAGAAGCCCAACCATATCAGTAGGCATATTCTGGGTCACTGAGTTTTGGACCTTCTCAACATGTATTCATTGATAATTCAAGCAAACTAATTTTAATTCTAACCACTGAAGTCACATCATGTTTTCCTGATTTTAAGTAGACCAGGGATGGCAGTTATATTCTAAGATGACCTTGCTACTTTAACAGATAGCCAAATGTATCTTTAAAAACCCTGAAGAACCACCAAATGGATAAAAGTGAAGCAAAGAGGTAGATCAAGAGAAAAATTTAATAAATTTAACATGATACATATGTCTCAAGACAAAGTTACCAGAAAACTTTGCTCAAATATAATGTTTTGTGAATTAAATTTGATTCAAATAAAGCATATTCCATGTTAATGTATATTATTTACATTTTAAGTGGATTTTTTTCCAATAAATTCTTTATTTCTGAAATAAGATAGATTCTAATATTGCAGGTGTTACACTAGCTGGCAATTCTATCCATGCACAGAGATACATGAAGCAGGTAGTCACAAGAAGCAGTTTCTAAAATCTCAGGATTTGACTGCATATTTGCAAGGGTGTACTTACTCTAGTGAATCTTGTAATATCAATGCTCCTTATATCTACATAGAATAGAGACCTTCATCATATTATCAGAGACATGAATTCCATCCACCTTTTAAAACTCCTGTAGCATATGAAGTTTTCTGTTCAAGGTTTCTATTTAAAGTCTTTTCTTTATTATGTTCCTACAGGGATTTCAAGGGCTGCTTCTAGATCTCTTTCTTCCTACTTCAGTTTTGAAAAATCCTACTGGGGTTTCTATTTTTGTATTACTTCACCAGATGTCCAAACCATTTAAGACATGGCCTCTAAATCCTTGACAGCTATTTGAGGGTGTCAGTATGTTCTCAATTCATTTCATTTTTTTTTTGTCTGAGCTTGTCCTGCCTTTTCCTACAGAAAGAATAAAACAAACACTTAAGGAGTGTCAACTGGGTGCAAGACAATGTGATAAGCAGCAGGGACAATAATAAGATCTGTTTCCCATCCCAAAATAATTAATGACACTAGAATAACTATAGACAAAGAGTAGTTATGAGAAAGTGCTATATAACAAGAATAATTTATATCACTACTAGTAATAGTAATAATAAATACAACATTTGCTGAGTATTACATATCACACTCTGAAGTAGGTCTGTCTAACTAAAAGTTGGTAGCTAGGTTTGACAGAGGACTTCAAACAGCAGCCCTTACATAAATCTGAAACTTAAAAGTCCAGGAAATCAAACAGGGTCTGGGTCAACTTCACGGGTGTGCAACCCATGTAGGCGCACAGGCCCCACTGGTTTAGTGTTCTTGAGGAACTATGTTGAATCCCTTAATAATCCTATCTGTATTTTTTTCCTCTTCTGCTCACCAAGCATTTTATCCATGTCTATCACAGTGTTAGATACATTGGATTGTATACTCTTACTTACATCCCCCCTGTCAACATATTTATCATTGTGTTCACCTACTACTGTGCCTGACATATAAGCACTCAATAAATGATTGCTGATTGTCACCTTACTTGAGTTGTCTGCAACATTTAGAGTTATTTATTGGCCATGGTCTTAAAACATACTCGCTCTTTGCTTTCTTTTTATTTTTTAATTTAAGCCATTTTTTCCTATTGTTTAAAAAAAATTATTGAGGGGACATGTACATGATTCAGAGAAATAGGTCACACCTCCTCAGACCCACCACCAAGGTACCATAATCCCTCTTTGATCCAACATTCACTCCCCCATCCCTGTGGTAAATCAATTCTACAATCTTATTGCTAATGTTTGTTTTGGTTTAGTTCTGTCTGTTCCTTTGTTTTGTTTCTCTGGATTCCACATATGAGTGATATCATCCAGTATTTGTTTTTCTCCTTCCGGTTTTTTTTTTTTTTAAATGATTTTCAGAAGTAAAATCCAATGGAAAATGGAGAGTAAGTATGAGCAGAGAAGATACTTATTGCCATTCCTTCCTGTCCCATTGGCATATAGCCTTTGGGAGACCCAAAGAATATAGAATCCAAGTGAATTCACCATGTATTTGAGTATAGTGAGGCTCAAAATTCACTATAAGCATATCTAAAACTAAGTAAGAGCATTGAGTGTCTGAGAAAGCTCATGCTTTCTGTTCAGACCAGACTTTGCTTCAAATGCAGAGAAAAAGACAATATCATTTTAAGAAAGGCAAAATTCCAAGGACTCCCACCATACCCTTTCTTGCTACCTTACTTCCCTGTAATTGTCCATCTGAGAAGGATGAAAAGGAAAAAATAGGAAACCATAGTTCCTTTTTGCTTTGAGTCTTTCTTTACTCAGCTGTAACCCAAAGGCAGATAGAGTTGGTAGAATGTGTTCTTACCCAGAATCTAAATAGAGATAATCGAGTTTGTTATGTTCGGCAAATCCATTCTTCTGTGAGTATCTAGGAGATACAAAATATGAGTTGTGTGATTTCATTAGTCATGCATATGAGAAAAAGACTGTCGAAAAATGATAGAAATTGAGAAAAGGCAGAGAGTGAAAGAGAGAGGGAGAAAAACTTCATCAGTGAATATATGCTAAGTAAAGTAGTAGAAGTAAAATGATATTAATATTTAAAAGATTGTCAAAAAAGATTGAAATTGAGAAAATGAAAGAGAGAGGGGAGAAGAACGTCATCAGTGAATATATGCTAAGTAAAATAGAAGTAAAATGATATTAATATTTAAGAGAATTAGTTAAAAAGAGCCTAGATGTTCATTTTCAAAGATTGAAAAATGTGGATTCACCCTAGCTATGTGACTTGTGCATATTAGTTATTTAAAATATTAATTCCTGTTTCACCGAATTTTTTCTAAGGATTATCAATAATGTGTCTAAGCTGCTTAACACAGTGTCTGATATGTGTTAGATATTAGTTCAGTAGTTTTTTTTAATTTTCATTTTAAGGCAAAACCAGTTTATTATTAATTTTTATAATTCTATTTTCTATTCATAGTAGTACTTTATTTTTCAACATAGTATTTTAAGTGAAACATACATGTAAACATCAATTCATCATCACAAATGAACACATTAATTCTAATAAATATCCTGATATATTAAAATTCTTATCAGCATGCATGTGAAGCTGGCAAATTTTAAAGCAATGCATTTCATTTTTATCTGAGAGAGTCTTAAACTACATCAAGGAGAGACTAATAGTCTTGAGATAATTCTTTCACATTTAAATGATCACATCTAGCAGCTTTGAATAATCCTTCTATTATATTAAATAACTTTTATCTCTATTGCTAACCTACTACCATTAAGATATCTTGAATTCATTTTATTTTTGTTCTCCATGTTCAGTGTAGTGCCATGTATAATTGTTAGGTCATATTGTACAAATCATATAAATATGTTTAATAATAGACTGAACTTAAAGTACCTCTCATGTAATTAATTTGAATAAAGCATCTCAGCATTTTGAAGAACTAAATAATTAAATAGGTCTGTATTATTATCCCCATTTTATAGATGGAATCATAGGTACAAAGATATTAAATAATTTTCTGGAGAACATAGATTTAGTCAATAGCAGGAATAAATTGTGAGTAATATTTAGAATTTGCATTAGGAGAAAAAGTTCAGCAGAAATTTCTGCTACATCTGTATTCTACATAGAAAACTAAATTGAAATCATTACTGCTCTCATTATTAATATTCATTCAGTATCAAAAATATGCAAGGTACTATAATATAAGAAATGAGATAAAACCCCCTAACCCCAGCCCAACTATATATCTAATCCTTCCAACTTATTGCTAGTACATCCAAATGGGTGTTTTATCACCTTAATTATTTTCAAGAAATTACATCAATAGCAAAGAATCCTGTGAGTTTAATTGCTAAAGATAATACATCTCATATTCGCTCAAGTAGTACTAACCTTGAAGATAGTATTGGGCCTCCTCGGTGGTGCAAGGGGTCAAGCACAGCACTGTGAAGCTATCCACAGCCTCTGCAGCACAAGTTCAATCCCCTGGTGGCTGGGAAGCTAACCCACATGGCACAGCAGACCTCTCCTGTCACTCTTGCTGCTCCCCTCAGCAGTGTATTTCGTCAGTCTGCCTGTTCTGTTCCCTGCTCTGTCTCTGGTGACTCCTCTCACCCCTCTCACCTCTGGCCTGTACCCCAGTTCTTGTATGTATAAATAAATAAATCTTTAAAAAAGGAAAATATAGTATTTGAAAATGCATGACATGTCTTTAAAAAAAGAAATAAGGACACCATCTAAAAGTTGAACAGCTCTATTAGTTAAGGCATTAATTTGGGTAGTGTTCACACACCAAGGGTAAATTTTAGTCATAATTGAAAAAAAAATTTGCTATATGTATGATATTTTATTAGCCACATTTCATTTTTTAGCAGTAATCCACACAAATACCAAGAAGTTTATATTATTCTAAATGTACAAGTGAGAAAAAAAGTCTCTGAAAAGTGAAAAAAAATATGCCTTAAGGACACATAGTTATATGGTAAATGACATAGTCTTTAGTCCAAGTAATTCTAGTTCTTTCTATTCCAATACACTAATTCTTATATTATTTTATATATTTTTTAAAAGATTTATTTTTATTTATACAAGAACTGGGGTACAGGCCAGAGATGTGGCATGGTGAGAGGATTCACCAGAGACAGAGTGGGGAGCAGAACAGGCAGACTGACTGGAGACACTGCTGAGGGTAGGAGCAGGCAAGGCAGGAGAGGTCTGCTGAGTCATGTGGGTATCTCCCTGGTGTGCCAGGAATCGAACCAGCGCTGCAGAGACTGCGGACAGCTTCACAGCGCTGCACTCAACCGATGCCATCGGGGAGGCCCTATTTTATAATTTTTGACTAGTCAGAATAACACATACATGTTCAATCCAAAATATTTGTACATTGTCCATTCTTATGTACATTGTCCATAACTATAAATATTGTTAACGTTACTGATATAAGTAAGTATAAGTATATAAGTACATGTACGTATATAAATAAACACCAATGGACTTTCACAATATTTGTGTTTTCCATTGACAAATGTTTTTCCTTTTTCTGTCTTTTGTGAAAATATTATTTTTAAATTCATTTTTTCCTGTTGATTTGCAAGTTATACATTTAGTTGACTATTTTAGTGACTATTCAAAAAATATTTATACGATATTTAGAAAGCTAAATGTCTCCTTTTATACTATATGAACATGGTAGGATTTATTTAATAGTCTTATATTAATTAACTTTAGATTACCTCCAAGTTTCTAGTATTCTAAGAATTCCCACACAAGTATGAGCATACAATATTTGTCCTTCAGTGTCAAACATACTTTCAGAGTCATTCCAAGTTATAGCACATATTAAAATTTTATTCCTTTTGGAACCTGAGGCATTTTCCACTGTATGTATAGACAACCTTTTGTTTATACATTTGTTGATGAAACTTGGTTGTTGTCACCTTTTGGCTACTGTGAATAATGTGCCTGTGAACATGACTGTACAAATTTCTTTTTTCAGAACCCGCTTTCAATACTTTTGAGTATCTATATGCAGAAATGGAATCACTGGATCATATGGTAATTCTGTATTTAATTTGATACTGTTTCTATAGTGGGTGCACCATTTTACATTTGCACAAGCAATGCATAGATTTCAATTTCCTCTAAATTCTCGCCATTCCTATTATTTCATGAATTTTTGCAATTGTTGTTTTGATAATAGCCATCCTAATGAGTATGAATAGTAATAAATTTGATTTGCATGTTTCTAGTGATTAGTGATATTAAACATTTTCTCCCATATTTTTAGCCATCCATATTTTTCTTTAAAGAAATGAAGTTTTTCTTCATTGTAAAGATATGCACTGTCTATTTTTATAAGGGGTTCATCTTAAGTCAGCATGTTCTCAAAATAAAAATTTAAACTAGTTTTTAATCACAATTAAGAATGTATTCACAAAAAACAAAATAATATTAACTATAAAATGACAATTACTAATTTTGGCTCAATATACTTTACTAGACTGAATGTCATGTAATATATATACAACTAAAATGACTAGAATTAGCATTCTCCTTCTAACTTATTTCACTTAGCATTATTCCTTCCAGCTCTGGATGGTATCAATAATATGTGAAATATAGAGATACAAAGCTAAACGGCATATAAAGACAAGCTTAAAATCCAACCCTCAAAAGCTGACTATAGAAATGAAGCATCTAGGGAGAGGAAAAAGTGGGAGACTTGTAAGAACAAAGAAGGAAGGAAGCACAGTGGACTGTGGCAGAGGACTATGAGTAATTTGGTGGTGGGTGCCCTACGGTGGCAATACCTCTTGGGGTTTCCTAATATTACCCCAACTAAAACATTAAATAAACTAAATTTAGAAATAAATAAATAGAATAAGTGGTAAAACAAAAAAAATAAAATGGCTAGAATTAAAAAGACATATAAAACCAAGTTTTCGTGAGGAGGCAGATCAATTCAGACAAACATTTTTGGCAGGAATGTAAAATTGTATAGTTTTTCTTTGAAAATTATTTGGCAGTTTCTTATAAAGTTAAACTTTCACATGCAGTCCAACAACATACAGCCTAGCAATTCTACTCCCAAATGTTTTCCCAAGAGAGATAGAAACATATGTCCACCAAAGACCCATGTGATGTTTTTTCATAGCTATTTTATTTATAATAGCAAAATAGCTAAAAACTAGAAATTAAAAATGCCCATAATTTGATAAATGGATAAATAAGGAAATACTATACGTTTTATCAAGTTCCCTATTAAAAAAATAAGTAAACAAAAATAACAAAAAGTAATTAGTGTCTATGATTGCAGCAACATTGTCAAATAATTTAAGACACATTAATAACTTTAAACTCTGTATACTTAAAGTTTCATGTTATGTAATACATTTGCTGCAATCCAATTAAGACACCATAGCTCCAAGGGAAATCTGTGCTTTTAGAGGCTGTGAATTAAATCAACCCTTGTTATTTGAAGACAGCTATGATTTATCACAATATAGTATGGACTCTTTCTTACAAGAACTTTAAAGTTTTTTTTTTTATATTAAAGACATCCTTTATTTCTCCAATGATATGTCTTGAGGAAAAGGTGGTTTACATCATTTTATTTGTTTTAGGGATTATAGGTTCAAACCTCTACAAATGCATGTTTTCACACCATGCCCACCACCAAAGCCCTGTAATTCTCCACCATGCTCCATTTTGTTCCATTCCTCTCCTCTCCCAAGCCATCACTCTTCCCTTCTGGTTGCCTCAGTTTTGTAATCAGATGCCAAAGGTTTATTATTGGTTTGGTTTTGTCTCTCCGCTTGTTTCTACATATTCTGCATGTAAGTGAAATCACCCTTTGTCTTTCTCCTTCTGACTTATTTCACTGAGTGTTATGCTCTCAACTTCCATCCACGTTGTTGCAAATGGCAAGAGTTTGTCACATTTTATAGTTGAGAAGTATTCCATTGCATACGATACACCACATTTTTCTTTTTTAAAAAAGATTTATTTATTTATTTATTTATTTATTTATTTATTTATACAAGAACTGGGGTACAGGTCAGAGGCGCAGGAGAGTGAGAGAATTCACCAGAAACAGAGCAGGGAGCCGAACAGGCAGATGGACCAAAGACATTGCAGAGGGGAGCAGCAGGTGAGACAGGAGAGGTCTGCCACGCCATGTGGGTTTCTCCCTGGCTGGCTGGGAATCAAAGAGGCTGTGGACAGCTTCGCAGCATGGTGCTCAACCTGCTGCGCCACTGGGGAGGTGCTACACGACTTTTTCCTAACCATTTCTGTCTCAGGCACTTCACTTGTTTCAAAAATTTAACTATGGAAATAGTACTGAAATGAACATAGGAGTGCACATATCCCTTCAAATTAGTGTGTTTGGCTTTCTTCATTAGATACCCAAGAATGGAATTGCTAGGTCATATGGTAGATCTATTTTTATTATTTTGAGAAAACCCCATGCTGTCTTCCACAGGAGCTGGACCAATGCATATTTTCACCAACAATGTTTAAAGTTTCCTTTTTCTCCACATCCTGTCAACACTTGTTGTTTCTGAGCTTTTTGGTAAGAGCTATTCTCACAGGTATGAGATCATATCCCATTATGCTTTTGTTTTGCATTTTGGTGATAATGAGCATATTTTCATATTCCTATTGCCTATTTGTGTCTTTTTTGGAGAAATTTCTAGCTCTTTTGCCCTTTTTTTGTTTTTGTTTTTGTTTTTTAGTAGGGTTGCATTAGTTCTTTATATATTTTGGATATCTACCCTTTCTCAGATATATATTGTGTAGATATTTTCTTCAATCGGGTGACTTTTTGTTTTACTGATAATTCCTTACACTGTGTAGAAGCTATTTAGTTTAATGTAATCCCATTTGGTTGTATTTGTTTTTGCTTCTCTAGTCCCTACAGAGGAATCCCCAGAACATCTCTGAAGCCAGTGTTGTAAAGTGTTTGCCTGTATTTTTTTCAATGTGTTTTAGAGTTTTGAGATATTGGCCTGTACATTTCTTTTGTGAAATGTCTTGCTGTTTTTTGTTTGTTTGTTTGTTTGTTTTAATATCAAAGAAATTTGTTTGAGAGCATTCCCTTATCCTAGGTTTTTGGAAGAGTTTGAAAAGGATACACATTAGTTCATCCTTACAGGTTTGGTAGTACTCACTAATGAAACTAACTAGGCTTAGGCTTTTGTTTTTGGAGAAATTTGATTACTATTTCAATTTCCTTGCTTGTGATTGGTCTATTCAGGTTTTCTATTTCTTCTTGGTTAAATTTTGAAGGTTTGTCTGAACCTAAAAATACTTCCATTTCTTCCAGATTTTCCAATTAGCTGGCCTAATAACATTCATAATAGTCTGTTATGATCTTCTGTGTTTCTGAGATGTCTGTTTTAACTTTTCCTCCTTCATTTGTGATTCTATTAATTAAAAGTTTCTCCCTTTTTTCCTTAGTAAGTCAGCTAAAGAAATACTCAGGTTTGTCTATTTTATTTACTTTTAAAGAAAACCATGCTTTAAGAAAACCCTTTTAAGATATTTATGAGCATGCCCTCCCTGGTGGCGCAGGTGGTTGAGTGCTGCACTGTGAAGCTGTCCACAGCCTCTGCAGTGCTTGTTCGATCCCAGCTGGCCGACAAGAATCCCACATGGCACAGCAGACCTCTCCTGTCTCACCTGCTGCTCCCCTCAGCAGTGTATTTTGTCAGTCTGCCTGTTCTGTTCCCTGCTCTGTCTCTGGTGAATCCTCTCACCCTCCCGCGCATCTGGCCTATACCCCGGTTCTTTTATAAAAATAAATAAATCTTAAAAAAAGATATTTATGAGCATATTTAACAAATATTAGTAACACTTTTCTTAATTTTCTGTGCAAAGATAGAAAAATAGTTCTGTTTTTGTAATAAAATATAATCTTATTAATATCTAAAACTAACTTTGTGCTGTATCTATTCTATATTTTTAAAAGGGGTCTACTATATAATGGTTATCATTATTCATTTTTTTTCTTTTCTTTTTTATTATTATTATTTTTTTAATAGAGGCATGTTTTTATTTTATTTATTTGGTTTTTTTTTTTTTTTTTGTTTATACATGCACTGGGTACAGTCAGAAGCGCGGGAGGGTGAGAGAATTCACCAGAGCCAGAGCGGGGAGCAGAGCAGGCAGAAGGACCGAAGTACACTGCTGAGGGGAGCAGCGGGCGGCAGGAGAGGTCTGCGCGCCATGTGGGACCCTCCTCCCGTGGCTGGGGAGCAGCCGGGGATCGAACCGGCACTGCAGAGGCTGTGGGCAGCTTCGCAACCCAGCGCTCAACCGCTGCGCCACCGGGGAGGCCCTCATTATTCATTTTGGATGAACATCAACCCACAAGTTCTAGTCCAGTTGTCCTGTTTTAAAAGAATCACTGAAGGAGATCTCCAAAAGAGATTGTATTTCATTGAGGAAAAATTTGAATCCACCTCTTTAACACTTCACATTACTTGACCAGACACTGACATTTTTTAATTCCACATTGAAATGTCTGCATTTAGATTAGCACATAATACAATGAAGAATATTCTTCCCTCCTACCAAGATATGTTTTATGAAAGAAAATATGCATTATACATCTCTAAATACATTAATAGACCTTTTCATAATCAAAGTGAACATGATATATATGAAATTTCACTTTTCAAATATGTTGATATCATGGGGGCTCTAAAAACAATCATAAATGTCTCTGAATTAGGAAGAGAATAAATGTTCTTTTCTGAGTAAGTGATAACTCAAGGGATTATTATTCACCTCCAGGTCACCAGGTTGAATACAATCCAGGTGAATACTGATTTGAACTTGCTGCCATCTGACAGTTACATTGTGACCTATGTGCACTAAGTTACTAGTTCTAATATTAATAAAGAAGAGTCGACATACTGAAAACTGCCCATGCAATTAGAATTAATTGGTGTCCTTTTTAGCAACATTGGCAGACTATTAGGTTAAAATGGCATCCTTTCATCTCTCAACCTAACTAGCTGGAGAAAAATGAGGAAAGTAGAAAATGTCAG